TTTTTTGAGGCAAATCTAACAGCCGCTAATTTCCAAACCTGGATATACATATACATACAATAATTTCCCAAAGCTGCCAAAGTCACTGGGAAATTCGTTTGGAGACTATTTTCAGCAGTGCACTAATGCACATTAGATGCTCTATTAAGTATTTATGGAAGTAAGATAGATGATGTGTGAGGGCTTACTACAGTGTGTGTGTTCATGGTAATGAAATGACACGTCAGCCAGGGCAGTCGGCTGTCTTTAATAGTTTTTGGACAACAATTGAGCTCTGTGGCACAGAAGAAGAAGACTGACCCATGCCTGCCTTTCCGTCAGGGTAGGTGTACACCTGTCCGTTGGTCTTGATGAGTGTCAGGGAGGAGGAGGAAGAGGACGCAGTGAGTTGAGTCACCCCTCCTTCTCCCCCTCCTCCACCCAGCTCCTCCTCGTCACTGTCCTCAGGGCTAGAAGCTGCGCTCCCCCCGCTGGACTCCGTGCTGCAGCTGCTCCGGTCCTCCTCCAAACCGTCCAGCATCCCAAAGGAGTCGTGGCGCTTCCTGGACAGACGCTCCACCTGAGGATGCAGAAGGGACAGTTAGAGATGTTGCCAAACCCACCTACACATACACACAGTGGTTGGTGCTGTACTTAAGTATGATTTTGAGTTGTACTTTACTTGGGTATTTCCATTTTCTGCTACTATATACTTTAATTCCAATACATCTCAGAGGGAAATGTTGCAGTTTTCACTAAAGATTTTGAATACAAACATATGGTGATCTTACATCTTGTTTTGCTGTGGATTAAACCACCCTGGAGTGCGTAAATTATTTTAAATAAGCTCCACCTCAAACCTATCTACAATAGTAAAATGCTGCTTACACATTCATGCATCAGAAATAGAAAACAATACAATAATATATGGTATACCATGGGCTTTTTTCATTATGAGTTTACTTTTACCTTTGATACATTCCCGCCCTGTACAGGCTGTATAAAAAGGGCCAATGTCTAATTATGTTCCACTCAGTAGCAGCTGATCAGTTAAAATTCGGTACACAAGTCCAGTCTGGTGTTTGAAAACCAGACCAACCCTACAGCAGGCCAGGTCCATGTCATTGGTCCGACAGCCCACTGGTCCGACATCCCATTAGTCCGACGGTCCGCGGTGCTGAACGGCTCCCGGCGGGCGTATTTCTACCTTGATGGTGCACCGCGACCGGCTCTGGGTCAGCTGGGAAAGGCTTGAGGCGAAGCAGGCTCACAGCTTATGTGTTTGTCACTTTCTTTTTCATTTTAACCCACACCATGATCTTTTCCTAACCCTAACCAAGTGGTTTTTGTGCCTAAACCTAACCAGACCTTAACCACAGGGCATCATGATGATTTTGGAACGGACTTCGGAACAATGGGTTTATTATGGTCAGAACAATGGGATGTCGGACCAATAGGCAGTTCCCCAGCAGGCCAACATACACTGACTGATAAAAACTACAGGGTTGAGACAATTTGTTTATTTATTGATGAGTCGATCAACAAAAAAATTCATGTCAAATATTTTAATGATTGATGATTTTTTTCAAGTCATTTTTCAAGCAAAGTCTCCAACAATTCCCTGGTTGCATCTTCTCAAGTGTGAATGTGGTTATTATCTACGATGTTAAGCTGAATAATTTGTTAAACACACACATGGTGATGACATAGTGTGCGTGTGAATAGCTGTGTGCGTGTCAGTGATGTACCACTTGTGTAACTTTGTATTACATGTCTTGTCTTGTAAGTTTATGTAGTGCTGTTCTGGCACTGGGTGGATGTTGTGACCTGTCAAAAGACTGTTGATGAAAATTGGCTTCAAGTTAACTCTGGTACAATATATCAGATCAGATCTGACATTTATGTTTCATATTGCACACAGTCCCTTGGAAACAAAGAAACAAATAAATATATTCTGGTTTTATGTATGTTGGTGATACAAAACAAGATTTTTTAAAGATGTCAGTTTGGGATTTAAGAAACTGTGAGGCATATTTTTCAATATTATTGGACATTTTATGAACAAATCATTAATTGAGAAAATAATATCCTGGTGAAAACAACTGTTTGTTATGGCCCTACCTTTTTTTACTATAAAGTAATGAAAAATGACCTACACAGAATCCAGACAGTGTCCAATGTCTTCGAAAGGCTTGTATTGTCTAGACAACAATCTAACATATAGCCTATTCAGTTTATAATGATGTAAAACAGAAAAAAGCAAATCTGAGACATCTGAGAAACTGCAACTGAGGATTATATTTTAGACTTTTTTTTTTAAGATATTTTTTGGGCATTTTTAAGCCTTTAATCGATAGGACAGATGAGCATGAGGGGGGGGAGAGAGAGAGGGAGTGACATGCAGCAAAGGGCCACAGGCTGGAGTCGAACCTGGGCCGCTGCGGCAACAGCCTTGTACATGGGGCGCCTGCTCTACCACTAAGCCACCGACGCCCCATATTTAAGACTTTTTTTGCCAAATTAAAAACCATTTCAACACTTTGGAGTGCCAGAGGTCAAAGGTTACTCTTTTTGACAAATGAATTTCATCCAAGGCTTCAACTGCTGAACTGACAGCTTTCCTGTTTATTGGTCTAATGCAGTGGTTTTCAAACTTTTTGTGCCCAAGGCAAAGGGCAAAACAAAATCCCAAGGCACACCTGTATTTACCTCTGTGAGCGACAGCTCCTATAATGTGTGTTATCATTCTTATCCCGACATAAGACAATAAAATAAGAAAAAATAAGACAGGTAGCTTTTGTGTTATTGTCTACTGACAGTTTTTCCCCTTTTTTCCCTCTTTTCTTTCAGTCGTCTTTGCTTGTGCTTTGTTGTAATTTGCTCCATACAATAAAACAATCCATTGTCCACTTGCTGCTTTCTCCTTTTAAATGTTCTCATCCTTCACACTGGCTGCCAATAGTATGTGTCACACACTTATAATTCCCATGACCAAATGGTGACAAATAGGTTCCCTGTGATGTTTTTTTTAAATTAAAGTAAATTAAATGACATTTTTAGCTAGAGTTGCCTCTTTATTAAGAAATGGGTGTGCACTAGGCCTGAACGATATATCTTTTAAGCATCGCCATCACAATGCATATATGTGCAATATTTACATCGCAGTCTTGAGATGTGGCTTGCCCTAATTAAATTAAGCATGCACGTTTAAATTACTGAGTGATTGCTTCTGTTTTAATGACTGACCAACAAAATTTGTCTAATTTAGTGGAGTAAAGAATAAATAGCCTATTCAAGTGTTGGAATTTGTTATTTACGTGACAATGCCTGAACACAACACAAGCTCTGCTCCATTGACTGTGTGCACAGTGCAGTGCTGCAGGTTCAGGTCTGGCTCGGTTAAAAATGTCTCGGACTTGGGGAAATGCGGCCCGAGCCGTGCTCTAGTGTGCTCACCTGTGTCTGTGTGTGTGTGTGTGTGTGCGCACACACACACACACCGTGTCACCGTATAACACGTTAAATAGTATAATATTATGTTATTATATGAAGCATCCGTCGCGCAAAATAATGTAGCTTTAATTTATGAAGAGATAATACGGAGCCCTCTCCTCTCCTCTTATATGCTTTACTCACAAGTGAATTGACCTGGTTATGAAGCGTCTGTAGAGCCAAATAATATAACGGTAGTTAGACGAAGAGCTAGACGAAATAAAAGAAAAGAAAGGAAAAAAATCAGCAGCGTGGTGCAAAGCTGCTAGCTGCATAGGGGAAACACTGAAAGAGATGGTAGTTTGACTGAACAAATGCCTATTTGCATTCAAAGCAATATCAGCCTAATAATTCCAGAATGATTAATTCTCACCAAGTAGAGCTACTGTCATCTGGTGGAAAATAATGGATCCTTAAAAAAAATATAGAAATCGCAATATATATTGCTGGGGGCAAAAAAAAATCGCAATGTCAATTTTTCTCAATATCCTGCAGCTCTAGTGTGCACAACATACTGATACAGTCAATTAAAAATTCATTCATAATTTTTTGTATAGGCCCAGTTGAATATTGCAATAATAATGTATGGTTATCAAAAAATCCCACAACATACCTGGACTGGCATCATGGCAACCAGTGTGCTGCAGCACACCATTTGAAAAACACTGGTCTAATGAATATGCTTATTTCTCAGCAGATCCACCTGTACTCACACACAGGTTTGTGCATTCAGTCTGTCTAAGCCAAGCTCAGGGGTTTAGTGTTGCTGTAGCCCACAGGGATGACGCTCAGCCACGCTTTTTTTTTTAATACGAGTGGGAATTAGAATATATGCCGTCCTGGTCTAAATTCATACATATAAACACTTGAAGATCCACTCATTACTAAAAGTGTATGTTGTATAAAAACTAAAGTAATGGTCAAAGTTGTCACAGTAAAATTTAAAGTGTGTTGATTGACTCACAATGTTAACTCATATATTGAGTAACATTACAAGTAAATGTTCCACCTTAAAAGGTGCTGGCAGTCGACCCAGTGAATTAAGTTATTTTTTCTCCAACTCAGGCTGCTGTGAGAGACAGCAAAACATCCTTTCATTTTATAGTTAAAGTCTACTAATAAAACTTTCCAAGGTATGAGCAGTGGTTACATGAGCCTCAAAACCAGCCACAGCTCAGCCCTGAGCAGAGTGACCAATCATCCTCTATTGACCAATCAACAGACTGCAGTGTTCACAGCTCCACCTTTTAGTACCAGATCTGTGTGCTAGGTACCCCAACAGAGTGGTGACCAAAAATGGAGATGGTAAGGAACGGTTCCATTGGTACCATCCACAAATTCACAGTGGAAACAAAAAAAAGCGTCCCGAACTGAACGGTTCCGTACTGCTTGGTGGAAAGGGGGCTAATGAGACCTACAGTGCCAACAAAATCCAATGCAGCTTTGTATTAGGACTGGGCTATAGGGCGAAAATCATACATCACAATATTGTTTTGACACAAATACCTCAATATCAATATTGCAATGACATTGGAGTGCCAAGCATTCAAGCCAATCAGCATGGATGTATTATTAGAACTGGATACAAGACACAGAGATGGGGCCTATTCAGTCCAATGAGAATTGCTTGTCTGGCGCATATGCCAAAAAAGTTTCTGGGTTTGCTTCCTGGGTATGCAGACCACTTAATATGTGCAGTAATTTTTCTCAAGGTAGCCTTGCCCGTGAGTTCCTGCTTGGTTCACAGACTTTAAATTGTGATGATGTCATGGATTTTTAAATCACTTTTCTCAGCTCAAGGAAAGTTTTACAAACATAAAACCTCCATGGGTTGAAAACTCATAAAAGAAAAAGTCATAATTGTCTTTGTTTGCAGTTCGAAGTGTCCTCTAAACAGTTTTACAGACCTCTCTTTTATAGTGATGGTCTACAGAGTGCTGCAGGGGAATTTTTTGCTGCAATATTTCACAGTGGCTACCGGGAAAAATTTGGAAGCAAGGCTGAGCGGGGAACTTCCAGGTCTGTCATGTGAAGCAAATGGGACCGAAACTACTTTTCCCAAAGACTTTTTGAATAAATAGTTTTTGAGCATCACAACTGTTATGAAATGACTCGTTTCACCTTTGCCTCAGTTCAATAACGTTTCTAAAGTCTACAAGAGCCACATGATTAAATCATTTATCACCATTCAAGTTAGCGGAGCACTAAACTGAAACTTAGTCTCTGTTACAAGTCTCTAGTGTGCTTGCTCTATGGGCCCCACAATTCGGAAGATCAGGGTAATTTTATACCTGAGAGGTTAAACTTTTTTTGACCTCCTGGGAGGCATCATGTGCCACTGAGAAACTTTCATAGAAATGAACGGGGACATGCCTCCAATGCCGTGTCCAGTTCTCTTTATACATCCATGGAGATAACCCCTCGATTCACACACACACACACACACACACACACACACACACACACACACACACACACAGTCCTTCAGCCTGGCCCTGACAGCTGTTGCATTCAGTGGTTCACATCAGTGAGTTTGGAACTGTGTAACCTGCTGTCAACACCACTGCAGTGCGGTGCACAGAGAGAGGGAGAGAGAGGCTCACTGACAATACAGAGAGAGAGACTCAGTAGCCACAACTGGCGACTGTGTCAGCCAGAGAACACCAGACAGGATGTAACACCAAATGACCTCCAGAAATTGAAGTTCATTATATTGTAAACACCGGGAAGCAGCTCAGAAAAGATAACCCGGGGTTGTTGTGACTCGGTTGAAGCCATCCTTAAATTCGGCGTACATTAAATGCACTGAGCACAACAGTCTGTTATCGATATTGCATTTTTTTTTCTAACTGATGCGCCTTGCCAGTCACTGCTCTCCACTGTGTACTGTGGAGAACATAAATGGGAATATAGCAGGAAAACAGCGACGCGATAAGAAGAGTGAAATTTTAACTAACTTAGAAACTGCTTCGTTGAGTTGATATATGCCGAATAAAAGGGCATCTCTTCCGATTTAGTAAACAACTGAAAGTGCTGGTCAGTGAGATATCTGCTTTGGTCAACAACAAAGGAATTAAAACACCGCGGAATTCTTCTGTGGAGTTCAGGGCAAGGAGATAATGAGAACAGCAGGCGAAGCAATTATAAAACGCTATGTTTTGACCAAATTAAGAAATAATTTGCGTGGCATATATGTGCCGAATAAAAGTTTATATTACGCTACTAAATAAAAATTGAAAATGTCATTTTAATAAGGTGCATTCTTTTGTCAGAGAGCAAGAGAACTTAAAAGTAGAAGATTTCTCAAAGGAGTTTGGCCTTGATTTTCTGTCAGCGGTCGCTCTATAGTAGCCTTTAATACCGCTATCACAACCACAACAAATAAGGTAAATGCGGGATCTCGCCAGACAGACAAGCCTCAGAACTCACCAGGTCTCTGGGGTTTTCCATCAGACCCGACCGCGGGGGGACACTCTCACTTAAACACTAAAACCCGCAGAAATAATCATGAAAAACCAGAGGCAGACATATCAACAAAATTATCATACTTCTAAGGCGCAGGCGCGGGGACGGCGGCTGCTGATCTCTCATTGGCTGACGTCTCTACTTCCCTGTATAAACTTTAGATTAGATGGTATGCTCGCCAGCGACCCCTGCTGGAGGGATGCTAAATAAACCTAAACCGAAATAATAATAATGATAATAATAATAATAATAATAATAATAATAATGATAATAAAAATAACAATAATAAAGATAAAGATAATGTTAATGATGATGAACAAACAGCTTTTTTTTTTTTTTTGCTGTTGCTACTGACTCTTGTTTTGAGCTTCTGGTACCCCCAGGTACCAGACTGGTGCCTGACTGGCACCTGATTGTCACCAGCCTGTGAGCAGGGCCCTTCTACAGTGGTTAGTTGGTGCTCCAAGAATCGGCATGCCAGGTTTGACTGATCTGGATAGGGCCCAAGTGATAGGGCAACTTCAAACTGGTGTTCCGCAAAACCAAGTTGCGGCATTATTTGGAGCGAGCCCTAGCACCATCTGCAAACTGAAGGCCAAGTTCCATATAACGGGGGATTTCAGAGACAGGCTGCGAAGTGGACATCCCAAGAAGATGGCAGCCCAAGAAGACCATTTCCTCATCCTGTCAGCACAGAGGAAGTCTTCTACAGATTTGCAGTCAAGGTTTGCAGGATGATATGGCTGACAGCTCTCTGCCCAGACAATCCAGAACAGACTGCATGCAGCCAATTTCCGGTCTCATAGGGCTGCCAGGAGGATTGCCATGACTGCCCTTCACCATCAGGCCCGTTTGCGCTGGTGTCTGCAGCACGTGCACTGGGACCTGAACATGTAGAGGAACGTTATGTTCAGCAAAGAGTCCAAATTTCCTGATTGCTGCACCGATAGAATAACATATTTTGGTGAAGGCAGTGTCATGTTACAGTACTCCGGGTGGCAGGGGCCCTTCAGCAGGGCAATGTGTCATGCCACACAGCAAAAACTACTCAGGAATGGCCTGAGGATCATGACTAATAGCTCAGGGCATTGACCTGGCCTCCAAGTTCCCAGTTCCCAGTCTGATCAAAGATTCATGGGGTGTGCTGGTACCCCAGATGTACCCCAGATCCACATTGGGACCTCCTTGGACCAGACATGGCTCTGACCTGTCGAGGCGTGAACACAGGACCTCTGGGGTTGTCCTGTGGTGTCTGGCACCAGGATGTTGGCAGAGGACCCTTTGAGTCCTGTGGGTTGTGAGGTGGGGTACCAGCACATCTCACGGATGCTCGATCAGATAGGTATCTGGGGAATTTTGAACACAAGCTGACACCTTGAGCTCTTTGTCATGTTCCTCGGGCCATTCTAAGCAGTTTTTATGGTGTGGCATGTTGTGCTGTGCTGTTGGGGGACCATTGCCATTGGGGAGTGCTGTTGCCATGGAGGGTGGGGTACTTGGTCTGTAATGCTGTGTTGGGTGGGTGGGGCGTGTCAAGTGGCATCCACATGAATGCCAGGACCTAAGGTTTCACAGCAGAACACTGAATTGTAACAAGATGATCAATGTTTTAATGTTGTGGCTGATCTGTGTATGTATATACTATAAACTGATTTTCTTCATGTGCCTTCATTCATATATTTATATGTGGCTTGAATTTATGTTTATGCTTAATACTGAAATGTATTTTCCTGCTGCATTGTGACCAATGATTTGCAGCAGCTGTGACATATCAGGTGTGTTTATTAGATGCATTTAGTATATATTAATATATTGTGGCTATTTAGCTATAGACCTTTATGAAGCACTTAACTTGTGGGGGATACATGATTTGTACATATAGGCCTCCTGGTCTTCTCCTTTATTTGTATATACCAATATTTTCTTCCATAGGTGTGTAATGTATTCTTTACTATTACTATCTTTCTGTGGTTTATCAGAAGTCTGAGGAAGAGCTGCAGGCTCAGAATGTTACACAGCATTAAAACATTTTAACAGGAGCTACTTGGTGTGCGGATCTATTTGTTTCTATTTAATAAAGTTTTGGGCCACCACATATCATCACGACAGCTTTGATGCACCTTGGTATCACCTCACATCAGCTGTGTCTGGCAACTGGCAATCGTGCAGGCCTTGTCATACTTAGAAACATGTAATGGAGTAAAAACTGCAATATTTCCCTCTGAGATGTAGTGGAGTAGAAGTACTCGAGTACAAGTACTTCAAATTTGCAAAAGTACAGAGTAAATATACTTTGTAACTTTATGACATTGCTAAAAAAAAGTGTGTTTGCAAAAATGAGCCACTTTTTTGCAAAATGTGCTGATGCACAACACACGCTCTCTACTCCCATCTGTGTCTTCAAATTCAAAAATAACATTGTTATTTAATGTGTAAAACAAAGACAAAAAAACAGGACAAAATAAAAGTAACAGATTTCTCAGTGGTGTTTTGCATTGACTGAGCACAGGGTTTGTTTTATGATTCCAAAATTAAACTAAGGTTTGTTAGTGAAGAGTTATAATTGTAAAAAAATTCTAAAGTTGCAGTTTCTTAATGAAAATTTGTGTGGTTCCACTTCTTTTGATTTGCATCTTTTTCTTCGGTCATGCATGAAACACAAAAAACCTTTCCACTTGTAAAGTTTAACTGTTTTATATTTTTTTTATTGCAGATGACTCATTGGCAGTATTAGACCTGCATATAAAATATAATATATTAAGAACAGTTGTCATTTGGCCTTAAGGTTACAGAACTCACTGATCCAGAACATCTGCAGAGCAAGTGAAAACCTGACTGTAATTTTTGATTCACGTGTGCTGTGAGCTTTCCACTAAATAACTCTAAAAGGGTAGGGCCTGCCCTGCCGTAACCTGTTTTTAATTTCACGATTTAAAGGTTAATGCAGATTAAACCTGAGCTCCATAAAATCCTGACACACCTGTGATAGAAACATCCTCTTTGAGACCTGAGGGCTTGACATTCACAGCAGGGAGTTTAGACAGCTGCTGAAAGAAGAGATTTGGCAGTGCAGGAGTAGTGCAGAAAAACCTGCACGAACATCTTCAGTTCTGCAGAAAAGGACGCTTTAAAGGAGGAGTGCTTGTTAGGGAGGATAGATGAGTCCATGTGTGATGACCAGATGTGAAAAAGTAAACTTAAGTGAGTGGTGAGATGACGCCGTGGCAGGTTCTTCATGCAAACAGAGTGACCCGTGCAGGTTTGGGTTACCGTGGTCATCATGGACCTGGAGTTTTGGTGCATTACAGCACAGCTCCTAATGTGTCAGTTGCAGCTGTGGCTCCGGACAACAGCAGGACCTTCTGTTTGTCCAGAGAGAAACTTGACCTGCAGCAGCTCAACCGGAGGTTGGCCACATACCTGCAGCAGGTAGGAGATGCATGAAGTGGGGAAAAAAAAGATTCCAGATTGATCCAGTAGCAGCACAGAAAGGCCAAAATGAAACAAAGATTCATAAGTGATGATTGAAATGTTTTAAGTACAAGAGAATATAAAAAGCAGATTTCTCAATGCAGTTTTGCACAGACTGAAACAAGTGCAGCACTTTAATATCCCATTTCTGATAGTTACTTGCATTAACTGTCTATTCTTTGATGCATGAGATGGAAACACACAAAGACCTCCTTATTTTTCTCACACCACAGCAACATTAAACTGAGATTTATAAATGATGAATAAATGTTGTAGGGAGCAGGAAAACATAAAATATCAGATTTCCTAATGGAATTTTGCCCTGACTATGTGCTATGTTTTTTTTTTAACCAATTTCAAAATTAAACTGAGACTTATAAGTGCAGAGTCAATGTTTTTAAAGAGCAGGAGAATATAAAAGCAGCAGATTTTTTAGTGGAGTTTTGCATGGACTTAAACAGGTGCCGGTTTTGTTGTATGAGTTCTTGTTTTTTCTTTACATCCTCTTTTTATTTTTTGATGTATGAGGTGGAACACACAGCATCCTTCCTACTCACTTACCTGTCCCACAGATTCGATATTATAGTTTTAAGAGCCAGAAAACATAAAAATACCAGGCCTCATTTGTAAAACAATGTGTGGGATCCATAAGATTCATAAAAGTGTACATACAGACAAAATCCAGAAATGGCTTACACCAGAAAATATTCAACAGTTTCTACAATCAGGCTTCTACTTCACCATGTGTTTACCCTCTCCAAAAAGTAAGCATGAGTCAAAGTTTCTCCCATCAAGTCTGTCTTTATAGATCACAGCTTTTGCATGGGATGCTGTGTACGCAATGTTTATAAGTGAGACATCAGATTTCTTATTGGAGTTTGACTGAGTACAGTGTGCCACTTATTCTCTTATTTTTCTCTAATGCATGTGGTGGAAACTTCTGCTTGTAGCTTTGTAAACTATATTTAAAGAGCAAGAGAACAGAAACATAGCAGAATTTTCAGTGGAGTTTTGCATGTATTGAAAAAATTCCATGAGATCTAAAGCTGAAAAAAGGTCAGTTAAAGGGTTACTTTGGTGTTTTTTAACCTGGATCCTATTTTCCAATGTTTTGTGTCTTAGTGACTAATGGAAACAAAAACTTTAAAACTGGTCCAGCACTGAGTGAGATCGCTGCAGCCAGCTGCCACAAAAAAGGCTCCAATGTAACTACTCAGGGCAATTTTGGACCGTCAATATTTGTCCACTAAAAGTGCTCGTTTTTGGTACTGATTGGCTCAGAATATTATTCAAACTATCCTAAAATACTCTGGAAAGGATCTCTTGCAGATAAAGACCTTTTTTGGTCACCCAGAAACAGCCCCGAAATAGCTATTGTCAAACCCACCAGATTGTACCTACATAAACAGTGATTTCAGCATGTATAGAGCCAAGATATTTTCACGTCTATCCTGTGGTTTAATTTAGGGTTTATTTAAACTAAACTAGAGCGGGTGATTGTTGGAACAGTAAAA